TTATCTGATGGGAAACAGATTTGACATTCAGGAGAAACCAGAAAAAAAATTACTCTCCTTAGGAATAAAAAAATAAGTATTTAAGTAATTTTTCCACTTTCTCTATTTTTCATAGCTGAAAACTGAGCAAGGCTGTTAAAACAGAGAGTTTACATTACAAGGCCAAAATGTATTCAATAAATACGGATCATTTATATTTGCCTACTTCATGAAATTAGCACTTAGAAATGAAACAGAAAAGGGGCACCTGGGTGGCGCAGTCGGTTAAGCGTCCGACTTCAGCCAGGTCACAATCTCGCGGTCTGTGAGTTCGAGCCCCGCGTCAGGCTCTGGGCTGATGGCTCAGAGCCTGGAGCCTGTTTCTGATTCTGTGTCTCCCTCTCTCTCTGCCCCTCCCCCGTTCATGCTCTGTCTCTCTCTGTCCCAAAAATAAATAAATGTTTGAAAAAAAAAAAATTAAAAAAAAAAAAAAAAAGAAATGAAACAGAAAAATATCAGAAGTCACTCAACCAAATACATGCTAAAAATGCCTCCATTAACTGCCTCTGGATAACTATTAAACATTACAAATAAGTTAGCAAAACCTAAATATAATAACAAAATTCAATGGTTCTATTTTAGAACAGTTTTGTTTTTATTTTTGTTTTTTTTAGACCATGCCTTCAATTTTTTAATGTTATTGTTTTGGCTTTTGTCTTCTGTGCCTGTTTTAATGTAGGAATGTCCCCCAAGAGTCTGTCTGTAGCTCTCTGCTTTTCTTTCTTTTTTTTAATAACTCCATACTACTTCCTTACAAGCTTTCATCTTGCCCATTACATCAACTCTTATTCATGTCCTTATGTATTCCTCTCAAAAGGCCAGCCTGCTCAACATCTCCAACAGGATATTATAATAAATGCCAAATGTGTCTAGAATAGAACGCCTTTCCTTCAAATCAACTACTGTTCTGATTCTGCCGTGTCTGTTTATGACATTACCATTCTCCAAGTTACTTGAGCATGAGGCTTTAGAATTTTTTGGTTGGTTTGGTTATGGTTTCTAAAGAAAAGGTTGGCTCAGGGTCCAGAGAAGCTTGCAATTCACCATTTCCGGGAAACCAGATATGTAGAGATTAGGTCACACCCTAACTGAATAAAAATTAATATATCTAGTGTACACACAGACTGTATTTAAAGGTTGTGTGTTTGTCTTTGCATCACAGTTATAAAAAAAAAAAAAGCAGAAAAGACTATTACTTTCACCATAGTAACTATATATTAGGTTTATCAGTGACTATATACCAGCCTTAATCAATTGCATTTTTTGGAGGTTTTAATTTCTGAATCAACGATCAATGGTTTTGCTCCCTTTTGGTCTGTTCATATCTTCAATGGGGCCTTTAACACATTTATAATACATATTTTCTTGTCTGTCTCCCAGAGCAAGAGGGTTCTATACAGGCTTACATCTCATTCATTTTTATATTCCCAGCAATGAATACAGTGCCTGACACAAAATGTGTGTTGGATACATTAACCTACTATTGCTTATTAGTCAATAAAATTAAGGTGACTTTTCTATTACTAAGAATAAAAAAAGATACCATGCACAACTATGTTTAAAAAACAAAATGTAAAAGGACTTATTTTCAAACAAAAATTGAAATAGTTCTAAGACTCCCTTTTTATAAAAAGAAGTATAAATGTAAATATAAATATAACCTTAATTCTGGTCATTTAGTGTCTATGTCTTAAAATGTCAAGTATGAGAGTTGCCTTCTTCCTCCTTCTAGGGCTGCCAATTTGTTCTTTCCTCAAAAACTCATCACATCTTAGTTCAAAATACAAATATGCCTATTTGAAAATAATTCTTCATATCTAAATATACTATAATTATAATTGTCAAACTAATTAGACTAAAGGACAAACTAGTTGAAGATTTTAGTGTCTTCTGCATATTTATCTTAAGAGAAAAAAAAGGAGTGGGGGAAGATGTAAAAGACTGGCAGGAAAAAAATCCACTTGCTGATTAAAGACATCATTCAAAATAAATCCATACAAAAATCTATTTTTTAAATCTGGTTTTGCCACAGAACCAGTTAAAAGCAGGATTTGGGGACTTAAAATAGCGATGTCTAATATTCAAATATATTTATATTCATATTTTTGTGATGTAAATTTTGTAACTTATAATTTGTAAATTTCTATGTATTGCCCTCTCTCTGCCCCCCCTTCCTGAACTTAAGTCTGGTACAAACACAAATTCCTTGGGTAGGGACTTAAAAAAAAATTGGAAATCGGCAACTACCATCTGCCAAGCCTGATGCAATGTAGCATGGAATAGAGACAGTGAATGTGAGATAGGAAGATAATCCACAAATAGACCCAACTCTGTGCAAATCAGAGCCAGAGAGGGCCAGGAAAAGCTATCGCCCTCATCCCCTCCAGAGGAAATACTGAAGTCCCCCTCCATTTATGGAATGAGACTTGAGCCAATTGTGGGTGTCTCTCAGATGATAGGCACTTTAATGAACACGTGGATTTGTAAGTAAAAACTTTAAAAAGCCAAGAGAAATATTCTAAAATTGTAAACTTAAAAAAGAAATGTCAGTATAATGTAAAGTTGGTAGAGAGATTTGGAGCTGTAACCATGCATTTGTGTATGATGAAACAGACCCGGGATTGTCTTTGTGAGGCATGGGGATGAGGGGGAATTGGCTTCTCCGACAAGACATGCTAAGTCCACTTGGGGGCAAAGATCCAACAGTCATTCATTCAGAACATCTTGTTTAGGTTCCTTCATTTTATTAGAGGATTTTGACCCTCCTTTGTTTGTTTGCATTGGTTGATTTCAAATGTCAATCTATTTGCTTTAATCAGCAAAATCACTGTCCTGCAGGAAACTTCCCAGGGGACATGACCTCATATATTTTATTATCTCCAACTCTTGTCAAAATCAAAATTACAAAAAGCAACATTCCCTGAGGATTATATTCTGAAAGATATGTAAATTTATTCATTTCTGTAATTTTCCTAGATTTTAATCCTAGACCAAACCAAAATATCATTCATTAAGCTGAAAACATATTTGGACAGCATTTTGGGTGTGTTTGCTCCTTGTGTATGTGTGGTTTTTGTTGTGTTTAGACAAGTCTCTCTACTCCTATAAAATTGCTTTTACTAAATTGAGCTTTGTTGTATGTTCTCTGCTTACTTATTATTGGTTTTATGGGTGAGATACATTGAGCAAGTTGCCTCTGAGGTCACTTAGCCAGGCCTTCATAAGCCCCATGGGAGAAAATTTTCTCAGACCTTCAGTGAAAGGAAGAGCTTTGCCTCCCCTAATCAAATGGCACATTCTTATCTTATAGAACATGAAAGTCTCCTGAGTACCTGCCCATAAAAAGAAATTTAATTCAGTGGAACTTAAGTTTTTCATTTTTATTTAAATTTTCTAAAATCTCTTCTCACATGTATTTAAAATAAGAACACTATAAAAGACCTACTGTTAAAGTGGACTGCTTTTAGTTAAACATATATATTCACTATATTTCCAGAGACTTGAACTATACTATAGTCTCTATACTTTCTTTGCTTCTTGAAAGTAACAGCTCTCCTTGAAGGTCCCAAAGAGCCAACAAGGAAGCATGGGTCCACTTAGTAACAGGGTTTCCTAGTTTTAATATGTCACTTCAGCTCATTGTCTACGGGTATGACCTTCTCAGTTGGCTGCCCTTGGCCAACTTGGGTCCTCAGACTTCTTGATCAATAATGCCTGGCCTCCAACTCTCTAACATCACCATGTGCCTGCTCTTTGTCTGGCACCCCTCTCTGCCTTGTGTCATCTTACACCAAATTGCACCATCAACTACACCAGCTGCCTCTACCCTGATCCATCTGGCAAACAGAATGAAATGGGCACAAAAGGAAACAAGATTTACAAATCTCTGAGGAAAAAAAAAATCAATCCTGAAACTCAGTTTGATTATGTTTCAACTAGATACATTCTAGAAATCCAAATTGCATATTTGTATTCATGTATTTATGTAAAATATAAATGCCATTTGGAAATTCCAGATATACTTAATTCATTATGAGATAATATTTTAATACATATATGCTCTGTCCTCTGGATATTAACTTTTAGAAAAACCTTGTCTACCCTTGAACAGACAAACTCAAGCAACTCAGGATATTTACGCACTTGTCATCAGAACATATGTGGAAGGAAAATAAATTCTAATATAAGCTCAAATGACATGAATAGATAAATAAATATGCTTTCAAAAACAATTTAAGTGGACTAAATTACTTAAGAACTGTGCTATTTCAGATTATCGGAGCTTCTTCATGGAAGTGATCATTCAAAAGAGTCACTGTCCAACTCATTCTATGATGCTGGCATTACCCTGATACCAAAAGCCAGATAAAATATATAAGGAAAAACAAAACAAAACTACACACCAACATCTCTTACAAATATTGATATAAAAACTCTCAAAAAAATACCAGCAAATCTGGGGTGCCCAGTCAGTCAAACATCTGACTCTGGATTTCAGCTCAGGTCATGATCTCATGGTTTGTGAGATCAAGCCCCACAATGGGCTCCATGCTGACAGCGTGGAGCCTGCTTTAGATTGTCTCTGCCCTCTCCCACTTGTGCTCTCTCTCTCAAAATAAATAAACTTAAAAAAATACCACCTAACCAAATTTAGTCACATATTAAAAGGATTATATACCATGATCAAGTGGGATTTCTGGAATGCAAGGATGGTTCAACATAAAAAAAATCAATATACCATTGTCAACAGAATAAAGGAAAGAAATATGATTATCTCAATTGATGTTGAGAAAGCCTGTAAGAAAATTCAACACCTTTCATGAAAAACACACTCAGCAAACTAGGAATAAAACAAACTATCTTAACATAATTAAGGATGGCTGTACTCATAAATACATCATGTTGAGATTAATAACCTACAGCAAAGAAACTCATTAAAATTTCCCACCAGGAGTACTTACCAGCCAAAATTTTCTTGAATTGTTTAAACCACACATCACAGTGGTCTTCACTTAAATTAATAAGATCAAGCGTAGAATCTTTTAATTTATTTTGTTTCTTTTTCAAACATATGAAGAGTGTGATACCTAATAAGGTACCACTTCCCTGCTGTTTAACAGAATAACGCCGTTTCAGTTTGACAGAGAATATGTCCTTGAGTTCAATAAATTCTTCTTTACATAGAACATCATACTTGGAGTCACCTGAAAAAAATTAAATTTTCCAATTAAAACCAGTGTCCATATTTTATATGTATGAATAATAAAAAGTGAAAGCCCATAAAACCTTTATCATATTTATTTTTACCAATTATGCTTCATATAAGTCCCTGTGTGAGTTGGGGAGGGAAGAAAGGGAAAATTGGGTCTATTTTCCCAAGAATTAAAACGGAGAAAAATGGCATCAAGTCCCTGTCCAAGACATTCAAAAACTGAAAATATTCAATAGAAGAATTTCAAGAATATAGACAAAGCAACATTCCAAGAAAGAGTCTCCTTGGTCCTAATAGAGACAGAATAAAATGATGGAAAGAACAGAATTCACTAACAGAAGTGAGTTTATAACAAGTATTAGAGGCAAAGTGTAAGGAAAAAGATATGTACATTCCAGGTAAAGTAAAACATGTACAAAAAGGAAAACAGAGGAAGATTACTGTATGAAACATAAATCCCTGCCAGTCTAGAACGAAACATCCACCTGAATTGAATTTTACCACAGTCAGTCAGACTTTATTTTATAGTGGCATCAAATTTTACTGGTTATGTTTAACCTCCAGTCAGAAAACGTGTGTTGTGGTAAAAGACCATTTCAGTGGACTCTCAAAGTAGGAGTGCTTTATACTTTTAAAAAATACTTCTAAAATTTCTACTCTGGCCAAAATGGAATCACAGGGACTGGTTTACCTTCTGCCTGAAATAACTAAAAGGGTGGGCAAGATACATGAAACCTCAGTTTCCAGACATCTGCCATCAGGTAGCCCAAAACAGTATTCCCTGAGAGAGGGGAAACAAAGGAACCATGGGAGTGTTCCAGGCTACCATCTGGGGAGGGTTTCCAGGCCACAGTGTAAGTCGGGAGCCCTGGTGGAACCTGGTTGTATTACTGGGTGAAGCAGGAAGGAAGAGTCCAGAAAAGCCACAAGGACTAAGTTTACTAGGCAAATTACTGTAGAGAAGGAAGCTGCAGAGAAGTGGGAATTCTGCAGATTTGCAGAGGGCCCCCTTGAATCTTCAGCTGAGTATGAAAGACATACGTGCAAGGCCAGGGAGAGAGAGACCCAAAGGATGAGACAGAACAATGCTCAGAGATCGCACAGACATGCCCACCATGAGCTTAAAAGCAAGCCTCAAAAGGATTAAACTGTCTCCTAGTAATTCAATTACATCCTATAATAAAGTTCAAGAATACAGGGATACAAAAATGTTTACCAACTTTACATGGCAAAATTCACAGTACCTCTCATTCAACCAAAAATCACAATGCATGTAAAACAGCAACAAAACATGACCCATAATAAGAGGAAAAAAAGCCAATAGAAATAGATGCAGAACTAATACCAGTGTAACCAGCCCCACAAATCCGAGGTCCCCTCTCTCGGCTTCCTTGGCCCTTGAGCAGGCACAACACACTCAGATTGGAGCAAGGACTTCCAGGTACATTAAGAAGTTGCTTCCCAGCTTTCTCAGTGACTGTTTGGGCCTCTCCCAACCATTCTGCAAACCATGTCCAGTTGTTCACAAAGCACACATACCACGGAAAAAAAAAAAAATAAATAAGCCCTTTTCTCAGTGTTTAAGGTGGTGGGATAAGGTGAACCCAAAGTCAGTTTTAGGGGCCTGTCATCTCCTTGGAAAGCTCAGGCTTCAAGTACAGCGCACTTCTATTATTGTTACCCAGAGGCACATGGCCAGGGTCTCTAGAGCACTTCAAGAACACTTCATACCTTCAAGGATGAGAGATAGCAGGCTTGTTAAAGGTGCTTCTTCCAGACTAATCTTAAGATATTGATTATGCCCTCCTCTCTCATACAAATTTAATTTTTTTATGTCATATAGCACACAAGAGCTCTGAAGAAGGATGAAAGGAAACAAAGAACCACTGAGGGAAAGAAAAAAAAAATGCAAAGGATGAAATCAACTCCCCTTTTCACTCGAAGACCTGTATTATAATCTGAATTCTTTATCATGTGTGTGCTTTACTTTGGCAGTGAACAATTCAATGGCTATTCTAATTTAAAACCTCTTATAAATTGAAAATTTAAAGATCCTACGGCAACATCCAAGATCAAACTTAGTAGGAAAAGCCAGAAGAATTTCTGGAAACAGTACAAGAATACCTATTGCCACTTTTACTATTTCAAATTATTCTGGACATTCTGGCTGATAGTATATGAAAGAAAAATGAAATAAAAGGCAATTAAGTGGCAGAAGGGGCAGGAGGAGGGCTAAAATCATAACTATTGATAGATGATATCACAGTATGTTTGTAAAATCCAAAAGAATATCTTTAAAATCACTAGAACTAATAAAAAAATACCCAGTAAGGAAACAGATTACAAATATACCAATAGCCAGGAAGGAGACATAATGGGGTTAAAGATATCCCATGCCAATTAGCATATTATACCTAGGAATAAATTTAGCAAAATGATCTTGGACTTGTATGGGGAGAAAATGCTAAATAAGTGGAAATATATTAAGCTCCAAGATTACATTTTTTCCATGCCTCATTATTAAATAACTACTGATAATGCTATTCCAATCAAAATCTCAATGGTATTTTCTTTGATGTAAAGGGGCAAGGAACTTAATCAAATGATTTGCAAATTTTCTTGAAATAAATGTATTACATTAATGAATAAAATGTTTTAGAAGTACAGCAACAAGGGACACAGAGTATATGCCTGATTGGATATTAGTATTTTGTAAAGCTATAATAATTAAAATATAGGAATAGATAAGAGAATGGTTCAAAGAGATTTGTATACGCTTAAAAATCACTAATATGATAATGGTGGTATCTAAGCTCAGTGGGAAATATTCAGTAAAAGGTGATTTAGAGCGGATTAATCTTTTGAAAAAGGAAAAAAATAGAGCCTTATTTCATAATATATACCAGTATTTCTAGAGTAGAAAGAATTTCATATAATCATCAATTAGTAAAGCCTTAAGAGTGACAGTAAAGGCAGATATACAGAGACTGAAATATGTAACAAAAATTATTCAATGCCCACCTGAAACTAATATAACACTGTATGTTAATTATACTTCAATTAAGAAAGAAAGGAAATTATTCAATTGCTTATAAAGGCCTGAAGAACCATAAATAGATGTCACAAGCAAAAGCCAACCAGGCAGAAATATCGGCAACACATGACAATTAAATGAACTATTTAATCAAGGAACTAAACACTTTAGTGGCAAAGTACATAAAAGACCCAAGCAGGCATTTCACAAAAGAAGAAATGCAAATTGACCAATAGACATATGAGAAAGTTCAATCTAATTAGTAATCAAAGAAATGCAAATTAAAACAACAAGATACCATTTTTTGCCTTTTAGATTGGCACAAGATCAAAAATAATGCTCAACGATGGTGCGTGTAAAGGGAACCAATCCCAGTGCTGGTGGGAATGCAAAAATGGTAGCTGCTGGAGAACAAGTTGGGAATATGTATCAAAAGATTTCAAAATGTTAATTGCAGCAGTATGTGGAGTAGCAGAAATATTTAAAGCAATGCTCAAGTTCAATAGGAGAATGGTTCAACCATAGTTTTCTGCAGCCCATAAATGAGCAAGTTAGAACTCTAGGACATTCATGTTAAGAGGTATGAATAAGTAGAATAAAAGCAAGTCACAAAGTAATCTGGGGGATTTAAGCTCAATTTCATTAAAAAGAAAAAAGAAACTCAAGTAGAAAACACACAACAAATTTAATACTGGTCACCTATTAAAGAGAAATATGAGGGAACAGGAGATTAATTGTTTCCTATAAACCTCCATAATTTCCCTTTCTATAATCAGCATTGAATTTACAATTTTTAAAAATGAAGAAAAGGAAAAATGCTTTAAAGTATGCATATGTTTGATCCAGCAATTTACTTCCAGGAATTTACCCTAAGGGAATAGATAATATGCACAATTTAACTAGAAGAATGTTTACCCAAGCATTATTGGAGTGAAACTTAGAAATAATCTAAATGAGTAACAGAGTATTGGTTCTATAAAGTATATTTCATATAACAAAATGCTATTCATCCATTGAAATGTAGAAATCCGACGAGAAAAGGGTCTAAAGTAGCACATTTCTATTATTGTTTTGTATGTTTACTGAATACATTGTGTACGTGTAATATATTTTCATATGCACATTTATATGAAAATGCATATGAAAACTTGGAAGGGTAGTCAGATTGTGATTTTGTTTGCATATATGAATTTCTAATTTTTCTACAGTGAGAATATTCTATAATCAATTGAAAAAGATTGTTTCCTTTGCTCATCCTAAAATAGCTCCTGATATTAATTTTTAAAATTCCATTCCCTAAAAAGAGTAGCTAATATTTAATGAGCATGTGCTGTATGCCAGACATTGCCCTAAACGCTTTACATGTATTACTATCTCATTTACTCCTCACAGCAACCCTAAGAGGCAGATGCTGTTTCCTAAATGAGAAGAAATTCAGGACAGAGTATGTGTAACTTGTCCATGGTCATACATCTGGTAGGGACAGACCCAAGATTTTAATCCAAGCACTTTAGCTGGTCTTTACAACTTTGTAACAATGTTGGGCTGACCTAAAGAGCTTCTTCAGGTAAACGCACTCTCATCTGACCTTCTGGATTGGTTTTTATTATTATTATTTTAATATTTATTTTTGAAAGAGAGAGAGCACACACACAAGTGCAAGCAAGGGAGGGACAGAGAGAGAGGGAGACACAGAATCTGAAGCAGATTCCAGGCTCCAAGCCATCAGCAACAGAACCCGATGTGGGGCTTGAACTCACGAACTATGACATCACGACCTGAGCCAAAGTCAGACGCTTAACCAATTGAGCCACCCAGATGTCCCTTAGATGGGTTTTTAAGTCTAGTCAAACTTAAAACACTAGGTGAACAGCCGTTGTGTCTCTAACAGCAAGACAACAAATGTGTCCCTTAACAGAGTAGTACTACATCAGACTGAGGTGACCACGAGGGAAATG